GAATGGAGGGGGTTATTTCTGTTTTCTTATAATTGCTGATGCTTGCTTTGTGCCCTAAAATATGATCTATTTTGGGGAAAGTTCTCTGGGCTGCTGAGAAGAATGTATATTGTGCTGTTGTCAGATGAAATATTCTTTAGACATCAGTTACGTCCCAGCTGGTCTTAAACTCACAATCCTCCTACCTCAGTCTCCATAATACTTGGATTACAGGTATGCATCACCATGATGCCTAGTTTGTGCTTATTTTAAAAAATTGTAGTAAAAGTATAGTTTTAATAATGTACTTTTTAAATATGGTACTGAAAATTGTATTTCCGTTGTATCCCTCTGACACTCTCATGTTGAAAATATAAAATAAAAAGGGAAAACAATCATAAAACAGCTAACCATTTATTGTTTTTGAGGTACACATATGGGAAGCCAGTGAAAGGAGATGCAATCCTTACATTTTTACCTCTGTCATTTTGGGGAGAGAAGAAAAATATTACAAAAAAATTTAAGGTAACTTTTGCAGATATTTTATCACTGGTAGTGGGGAAAATTTAAACTTTTTTTTTCTAGAAACAAGATCTTGTACTGAACTAACAAAAGTGGGCTATAAGAAAATGAAGCGCTTTCCAAAAGCATTGGAAAAGTGAGAATGTACCCACTTATAGTGATTAAAATGCAGTCAGAGCATTGTATTGTTGTGAGTTTTATTTCTAGTGTTTGAATTCCTAAAATGAAAAATAAAATTGAACTTTTAAACAAAACAGATAAATGGATCTGCAAACTTCTTTTTTAATGATGAAGAGATGAAAAAGGTAATGGATTTTTCAGATGGGCATTCTGAGCACATGGATTTGTCTATCCCTGGGCCAATAGAAATTGTAGCCACAGTGACAGAATTACTTTGAAGTGAATGTAAAGCTGTCTATGTGCTGCTCCTCTGTCGTCTCTCTCAGTGTAACTAGCACTTTCATTTGAGGTATTTGTTGCTTTTCTAAAGATGTTAATGAATATTGAAATTATCACAACTATTAACTAGTTTAACTTTTAGGACTCTTTCATAATAAAAGTGAAACTTATTTTCTATGCAAGTCTGTACTTCAATCATGTGATAGCTATTTGCAATACTTTGCATTTCTACTCTTTTCTTTATTTTTCAGCCTGAAACCACAAGAAAAGCTATCTTCCTTCTTTCTTTCTCTCTCTCTCTTTCTTCCTTCCTTTCTCTCTCTTCTTCTCTCTTTCTTTTCTTCCCTTTTCTTCCTCCCTCCCCTCCCTCTCTCCCTTTCTTTCTTTTTCTCTGTTTCTCCTTCTTCTTTCTTTTTAAAAATCACTTAGTCTGACATCTTAACTAGATAGTTTTCTCCTTTAATAATAAAATAAGAGCTAGGGGTGTGACTCAAGTGGAAGAGCTCCTGTCTAGCAGGTACAAGGACCTGAGTTCAAACCCAATACTGGAAAAAAGAAAATAAAAGGAAAAAGATTAATTATTAGAACCTGTCAGTATTTCAACAAGTTTAACCAATTACTGAACAAGCAAAGTACCATTCTTTCAGTAGCTCTAGTTTGCTGATGTTCATGTCACTGATGGAGTAGTAGGGGTGTTTAGGAGTCTGTAAAGAACATAATAGAATGATGTGGTTCTTTTAGTGTCAAAGCCAATATGGAAACAAGGCTTGAGTCCTCTGATTTCTTAATCCCCTCAAACCCATTTGGCAAGTAGCATATATGGAGAAATTAGGTGGATAGAAATTGTGGTGAAATAATATTTTTGCATTGTAAATTGTGCAATTCTCCAAATAGGTGTCTCAAGAAATGCAAGTGCCAATGTGTTTTTCAAGCAGCATGATTACATCATTGAATTTTTTGATTATTCTACTGTCTTGAAGCCATCTCTCAACTTCACAGCCACTGTAAGTTGGTATATTTCTTACAAGTCTGTAGTAATAAGTTCAATTCAATGAAAGGGAAATAATATTTTCCATGTTTATTTAAAAATTTAACCCAAAAAGTAGATAATTATTTTTCCTCTTTAGATGTGTGAGACACGTAGAATTGTTTACAAATGGCCTTTGTCTAATATTATTTTTTTAAAGTAGGTCCTAACAACAACAAAAATATTTTCCTGAAAATTTATTTAATAAGCAATGTAGATTTATTTATTGAGGCTTTTATTAATGGGCAATCATAAACTTAGTTTAAACTTGATTTTAGAATGAGTACTTTTAGCTGTAGCAAAGATATAGTATTCAAAATTATCAACAAATATACTCTTTTTTTTTCAGAGACTGTTGAAGTAATATTACCTGAGTAAATTTTGGTGGTGTACAAGACATTGTGCTAGGCTGGGCTTGAAAAGCTAAGAAAGACCCAGTCCCTAGCTTGAAGTTCACAGTGTTTGTGATGGTGACAAGAAACTAAGCATAGAAGTACAATTCCAGGCAATGTAATATTAGGATCATGAATTAATTTCTATAGGGATTTAAAGCAGGGACTGGTATACTTTTTTCTACATAGCATTGGACACTAAATATTTTCTGCTTTGTAAGCCATACGGTCTCTTGTCACAGCTACTCAACTCTGCCATTTTATAAACAAAAGAGAGTGGCTATGTTCCAACTAAATGTTACTTATAGAAATAATAGATTGGCATGCCTGCTTGCTAGTCCCTTAATTTAAAGAAAGTAGTGGGGGAGTCTCTTCTTCTTGAATATATGAAGAAAAGTTTTAGGTAGTTCCTGATTTTAATGACCTTGGTAACATAGATAGTTTGAAAGGCAAGTAAAAAACTGTGAAGCTGCAAATGATCATTTCCAAATGAGTAGAGTGGAACAATGGGAGTTCACTGAGGGAGCACTGGTTTGGGGATAGGGGTGGGGGTTATTAAGGGATGTTTTATGAGAAAGGAAGCTCTAAATGATGTATTTCAAGATTGTTAGTGTTTTAAATGTTTGGACACGGCAGTGGGAGGTAGAGAGTAAGATGAGCTGAAAGAACTGGAGCTCTGGTTGGCAAGATCAGGGCATATTCATACAATAGTGACTGGACAGGAGGGTTGTGTCCAGGAGTGGGAAAACAGTAGGAAAACCTGGGGTTTAAACTTTGTCCTGTGGGCAGTGAGAAACCTAGAAGACTTAGGAACATGGGTGGGATATGGTGAGAGTCTTCTAGAAAGACTGAGCAGGGCTATGTACAGCCCAGTTGTGAGGCCAGGAAGAGCCTTGTTGATGGTAGTTGTGCTGGTAGAGAGGAGGGAGCAGAAAAAATATGGGACTTGGTGTTTGAGAAGTGGAGAGAATGAGGGAAAATTCAGAGATAGTAAGTCTGGAAGAATTGTGGTGTCAGCTGGGTGCTGCTGGCTCACATCTGTAATCCTAGCTACTCAGGAGGCAGAGATCAGGAGGATTGTGGTTCGAAGCCATACTGGGGCAAGTGCTTCGTGAGACCCTATGTTGAAAAAAACCCAACACAAAACAGGGCTGGTGGAGTGGCTCAAGTAGTAGAGCACCTGCCTTATAAATGTGAGGCCCTGAGTTCAACCACAGTGCTGCCAAAAAAAAAAAAAGGAAAGAAAAATAGGGGGTATGAAGCAGTTTGGGTTATAATAACACATATAGATTGAAGTGTTATGGTGAAACTCTCTGTATAGCTATCTTAAGCAAAAAAAAAGTGTCTTGTTCTTTTTTGAACAAAACGTTATTTATTTAAAATTTTTTTTTACACTTGCCTGTAAAAGTCCAACTTTGTAAACATGGCAAGTCAAATCCCCCACAGTCTGGCCCCTATATTCTTCTTTTAATTCATCTCCAGACATCTCTTGCTCTGTATATTTACGATATCACTGTACTTCTCATAATTCCAAATATACAAGAAGCAAAATCCAGAAAAGTTGGTAGACTTACAGTTGCATAGATTAAGTAGTTAACATCATCAGAGATTTGATGAGATATCTCCCTTTTTTCAAAAATGGAGAACAGGCAGGTAAACAGGTCTTGTCTGGGGGTTGATACTAGTGGCAGGGTGGAGGATTTGAAGAAAGGAAATAGGAGGGTGAGTGTAGTGAAAATGTTATCTACACATGTATGTAAATGGAAAAATGAGACCTGTTGAAACTATTTCAGCAATAGGGGGGAGATAAACAAAAGATGGAGGGGTGAATTCAACCATGATCTATATTAATAGTAAGAACTTTTGTAAATGTCAGGACAATATAATAATAATAATAATAATAATAATAATAATAATAAAGATTATGGTGTCAGTTAAAAACAGAAAAAGCAAAATGGTTGCTCATTCTTAGATGTGCTGAATTTGAGGTGACTGGGCATCCAAGTAGAAATTTCCTACAGAGAAATGGAACTTTAGAATATTATGAGCTCCAGAGCAAGGTGAGGGTGGGGATTTTAGATTTGGGGTCTAAACACAAATAGATGACAAGTGAAGCCATAGGAATGCTGAGACCTTTGAGGAAGGGTAAAGAATAGACAATTGAATATTTGACCTTGACAATTTCCCACATTTAGAGGGAGTTTAGAGTGGGAAGGTGACCCAAAAGGGACACTGAGGGGAGCATGCAGAAACAGAGGTATGAAGTGAAGGAGGTTGTTGTGGAGCTGGGGAAGATGAGGAAGCCATAGAACTAAAAGGCAGAGACTGTGGGGTCAGACACCTCCTAGAGAAGGGTCAGTGAATCTGGAAAGTAGTTCAGTTTCATGGGAATAGTATGGGAAACTGGATTCAATTGAACTTAAGTCCTTGCTTTTCTTGTTCCCTGTTTTAAAAATATCTTGTTTTGACAATTAGGTCAAGATCACCCATTCTGATGGCAATCGATTGACTCCTGAAGAAAGAAGCAATAATGTAGTAATAGCAGTGACACAGAGGAACAGTACCAGTTCCTGGACCAGGTGGAGCAGTGGAAATCAGGAAACAGACAATGTCCAGACCATAAACTGTACTGTCCCCCAAAATGGGATCTTCAAGATTGAATTCCCAACTCTGGACGATTACAGTGAGCTGCAATTGAAGGTGCCGTCTGCTTCCCATCACTATGTCACTGCAGCACCTTTACAGTTCTACTTTCGGGGTAGCACTCAACCTGTCAGAGCTCAGAGTCCAGAGGAAGTAGACATGTTTTTATCTTTCTTGAAAATAAGAGAAAATGGTAGAAGTAGCATAATGACAGCAAGGAAGGGTTACTCTGAATGTTACCTTTTACCTTGATTTGGAGGAACACAGAAGAACAGCAATATGAAGGTACAGTGAATGTCCTGCAACCCTCATCTAGGTTGACTTTTCAGTCATTTGAAATTCTCTAGGTTATGTTAGCATGGATCCATTCCCATGTTTTAAAGCTAGCAGATTCTTTTTTTATTATAAAATTTTTATTAGTATATATTTGTTATACAGAGGGGGACTCATAGTGACAGTTCTGATTAGGCTTATATTGTACATTGGTTAGATCATCCCCATCCTCTCTCCCTCTCACCTCCCTCCCCGACCCACTTAAAGCAATTGCAAGAGGTTTCTTGGTTCTATTTCATGTAAGTATTTGAAGTCCATCAACCATGTACCCTCACATTCCTTTCCTTCATTCACCCTCCCGTGTCCCGCAAATACCCCCCAACCCTGACACACACTATACCTATTTACAGTCCTGTCTTTATTATTAATATTTAAGTTGATGTTCAAAGGTGTTTTTCTGTTTATCCACGCTGTGGGTGTACTTTATTTTGGTCTGTTCAACCCCTTCCATTTCTCTCTCTTACCTCTTTATCTCCCAACCCCCTTTTCCAGCAGCTTTCAATGCATATCCTTATGTCTTCTACCTTCACAGTGTTATGTCTTACGATATTACTGATGCGCTATCTTTCTATTTTTCTTTCCCTGTTTCCCCGAGTTCCATAGAGTGGTTAACTCTTAGTAACATGTTCTACACATGAGTTTGCATATGATCATGCCAATTTTTGCATATATGCTTACCTTTTGGATCTATCTTCCATGTATGAGAGAAAACGTGCAGCCTTTGTCTTTCTGAGCCTGGCTTACTGGCTTACTTCATGTAACATCATGTCCTCCAGTTGCATCCATTTACTTTCAAACCACATATCATTATTCCTATGGCTGAGGAAAACTCCATTGTGTATATATATCACAATTTCTTGATCCATTCATCATTTGTAGGGCATCTGGGTTGTTTCCATAGCTTGGCTATTGTGAATAGTGCTGCAGTGAACATTGGTGTACAGGTGTCTCTGTTGTATTCTGACTTATGTTCCTTTGGGTAGATGCCTAGGGGTGGTATCACTGGATCATATGGCAGTTCTGTCTTTTTTTTTTTTTTTTTTTCTTTTTTTTTCCTTTTTTTTTTTTTCCGGTGCTGGGGACCGAACTCAGGGCCTTACACTTGCCAGGCAAGCGCTCTTCCACTGAGCTAAATCTCCAACCCTCAGTTCTGTCTTTTAAAGCTAGCAGATTCTTTACAGTATAAGCTAGAAAATGATGAAGAGCCAATGTCTAGTGAATGAGAAAAACTGAAAGTGATTTCGGCTTTCAGTAATTATTCAGCTAGTAACATCTTTTCTCCAGGTTATTGAAGATGAAAATTTATAGCTTTTCTTTCTTTTTTGTAGGCAGTTCATGGCATGTTTACATCTCCTAGTAAACCATACATCCAGCTAAAAACAAGAGATGAAAATATAAAGGTAATGCCTAAAACTCACTTGATAAGTACAATATAATTAGACTCTCTTGCCCTTGATATGTACATATTAACTACTATTTTTTTTTGTCTAGGTGGATCACCTTTTGCATTGGTGGTTAGTGGCAACAAACAACAGAAGGAATTTAGCTATATGGTAATCTCTTATAGAATATAAGTTTATGATCTATTTTACAATTATCTTAAATGATGTCCACCTTATGCCTACACTTAACTTACTGTTTTTAACATTATATCCTGTGTTTTTTGCACCACAATTAAATATCTTTTTTCTTTCTTCACCTATACATGCATTTTCAATTTAAAATAGATAATTAAAATTTATACTATGTTTAAAATTTAAATTTCTGTTAGATAGACAGCATAGATTCATTATGGAAAATCGTAAAATGTAAGAAAGGGAAAATAATAATTACCACCATGGACAATTTTGCTAATTCAGTTCTCCCAGTGGAGCTTTGTATTCTTCTCAATCACAAATAGGGTTTTTACCAACAGAAAGAAAGGAATGTTTGAAGGACTGGATATGCCAATTACCTTAATCTGAACATTACACATTAAATACGTGTATTGAAATGTTATATTATATCCCATAAGTATGCACAAGTATTATGTGTCATCGAAAATTAAGAACAGAAGAGAAATCAGAATTGAGAATTTAAAAATAATGATTTTAAAAAAAAATCTAATCAGAATTGCTTTACTCTTATCATTTTCTGTTTCCTAGCTTATACTCTGTATTGTCAAGAAGGCTTTTCTAGCTTTCAAAAGGTTTTGAAACTTCTTTAAATCAAGAATTTGTGTATATGCTTAAAATTATGATAAATATAACTTCAATTGAGATCCAAATAGCTTTAGCAAAAAATTAAACTCATCCACTATTTTTTTTAGGTAGTATCCATGGGACAGTTGGTGGCTATTGGCAAACAAAATTCAACAGCCTTCTCTTTAACACTAGAAAATTCTTGGGCTCCATAGGCCTGTATAATAGTGTATTATTATTATTTTTTTATTATTCATATGTGCATACAAGGCTTGGGTCATTTCTCCCCCCTGCCCCCACCCCCTCCCTTACCACCCACTCTGCCCCCTCCCTATCCCCCCCAATACGCAGCAGAAACTATTTTGCCCTTATTTCTAATTTTGTTGCAGAGAGAGTATAAGCAATAATAGAAAGGAACAAGGGTTTTTGCTAGTTGAGATAAGGATAGCTATACAGGGCATTGACTCACATTGATTTCCTGTGCATGGGTGTTACCTTCTAGGTTAATTCTTTTTGATCTAACCTTTTCTCTAGTTCCTGGTCCCCTTTTCCTATTGGCCTCAGTTGCTTTAAGGTATCTGCTTTAGTTTCTCTGCGTTAAGGGCAACAAATGCTAGCTAGTTTTTTAGGGCTTACCTATCCTCACCCCTTCCTTGTGTGCTCTCGCTTTTATCATGTGCTCATAGTCCAATCCCCTTGTTGTGTTTGCCCTTGATCTAATGTCCACATATGAGGGAGAACATACGATTTTTGGTATTTTGGGGACAGTCTAACCTCACTCAGAATGATGTTCTCCAATTCCATCCATTTACCAGCGAATGATAACGTTTCGTTCTTCTTCATGGCTGCATAAAATTCCATTGTGTATAGATACCACATTTTCTTAAATCATTCGTCAGTGGTGGGGCATCTTGGCTGTTTCCATAACTTGGCTATTGTGAATAGTGCCGCAATAAACATGGAATGTGCAGGTGCCTCTGGAGTAACAGTCTTTTGGGTATATCCCCAAGAGTGGTATTGCTGGATCAAATGGTAGATCGATGTCCAGCTTTTTAAGTAGCCTCCAAATTTTTTTCCAGAGTGGTTGTACTAGTTTACATTCCCACCAACAGTGTAAGAGGGTTCCTTTTTCCCCGCATCCTCGCCAACACCTGTTGTTGGTGGTGTTGCTGATGATGGCTATTCTAACAGGGGTGAGGTGGAATCTTAGCGTGGTTTTAATTTGCATTTCCTTTATTGCTAGAGATGGTGAGCATTTTTTCATGTGTTTTTGGCCATTTGAATTTCTTCTTTTGAGAAAGTTCTGTTTAGTTCACTTGCCCATTTCTTTATTGGTTCATTAGTTTTGGGAGAATTTAGTTTTTTAAGTTCCCTATATATTCTGGTTATCAGTCCTTTGTCTGATGTATAGTTGGCAAATATTTTCTCCCACTCTGTGGGTGTTCTCTTCAGTTTAGAGACCATTTCTTTTGATGAACAGAAGCTTTTTAGTTTATGAGGTCCCATTTATCTATGCTATCTCTTAGTTGCTGTGCTGCTGGGGTTTCATTGAGAAAGTTCTTACCTATACCTACTAACTCCAGAGTATTTCCTACTCTTTCCTGTATCAACTTAAGAGTTTGGGGTCTGATATTAAGATCCTTGATCCATTTTGAGTTAATCTTGGTATAGGGTGATATACATGGATCTAGTTTCAGTTTTTTGCAGACTGCTAACCAGTTTTCCCAGCAGTTTTTGTTGAAGAGGCTGCTATTTCTCCATCGTATATTTTTAGCTCCTTTGTCAAAGATAAGTTGCTTATAGTTGTGTGGCTTCATATCTGGGTCCTCTATTCTGTTCCACTGGTCTTCATGTCTGTTTTTGTGCCAGTACCATGCTGTTTTTATTGTTATTGCTTTGTAATATAGTTTGAAGTCAGGTATTGTGATACCTCCTGCATTGTTCTTTTGACTGAGTATTGCCTTGGCTATTCGTGGCCTCTTGTGTTTCCATATAAATTTACAGTAGATTTTTCAATCTCTTTAATGAATGTCATTGGAATTTTGATGGGAATTGCATTAAACATGTAGATTACTTTTGGGAGTATCGACATTTTTACTATGTTGATTCTACCAATCCATGAGCATGGGAGATCTCTCCACTTTCTATAGTCTTCCTCAATCTCTTTCTTCAGAAGTGTATAGTTTTCCTTGTAGAGGTCTTTCACATCTTTTGTTAGGTTTACACCTAGATATTTGATTTTTTTGAGGCTATTGTAAATGGAATTGTTTTCATACATTCTTTTTCAGTTTGCTCATTGTTAGTGTATAGAAATGCTAATGATTTTTCTATGTTGATTTTATATCCTGCTACCTTGCTATAGCTATTGATGATGTCTAGAAGCTTCTGAGTAGAGTTTTTTGGGTCTTTAAGGTATAGGATCATGTCATCTGCAAATAGGGATATTTTGACAGTTTCTTTACCTATTTGTATTCCTTTTATTCCTTCTTCTTGCCTAATTGCTCTGGCTAGGAATTCCAGTACTATGTTGAATAGGAGTGGAGATAGTGGGCATCCTTGTCTGGTTCCTGATTTTAGAGGGAATGGTTTTAATTTTTCTCCATTAAGTATAATGCTGGCTGTAGGTTTGTCATATATAGCTTTTATAATGTTGAGGAACTTTCCTTCTATTCCTAGTTTTCTTAGAGCTTTTATCATGAAATGATGTTGGATCTTATCAAAGGCTTTTTCTGCATCTATTGAGATGATCAAGTGGTTTTTGTCTTTGCTTCTGTTAATGTGGTTTATTACATTTATTGATTTTCGTATGTTGAACCACCCCTGCATCCCTGGGATGAAGCCTACTTGGTCGTGGTGAATAATCTTTTTGATGTGTTGCTGAATTCGGTTTGCCATTATTTTGTTGAAGAATTTTTGCATCAATGTTCATTAAGGAGATTGGCCTATAGTTCTCCTTTTTGGAGGTGTCTTTGCCTGGTTTTGGGATAAGTGTCATACTGGCTTCATAAAATGTGTTTGGCAGTTTTCCTTCCCTTTCATTTCATGGAACAGTTTAAGGAGGATTGGTATCAGTTCTTCTTTAAAGGTCTGATAGAATTCAGCAGAGAATCCATCAGGTCCTGGACTTTTCTTTTTGGGGAGACTCTTGATTGCTGCTTCAATTTCATTTTGTGTTATAGTCTATTCAGGTGATTAATTTCCTCTTGGTTCAGTTTTGGATGATCATATGTATCTAGAAATCTGTCCATTTCTTTTAGATTTTCAAATTTATTTGAATATAGGTTCTCAAAGTAGTCTCTGATGATTTCCTGGACTTCCATGGTGTTTGTTGTTATCTCCCTTTTGCATTCCTGATTCTACTAATTTGGGTTTTTTCTCTCCTCATTTTAGTCAGGTTTGCCAGGGGTCTATCGATCTTGTTTATTTTTTCAAAGAACCAACTTTTTGTTTCATTAATTCTTTGTATGGTTTTTTGGTTTCTATTTTTGATTTCAGCTCTTATTTTTATTATTTCTCTCCTTCTATTTGTTTTGGGATTTGCTTGTTCTTGTTTTTCTAGGAGTTTGAGATGTATCATTAGGTCATTGATTTGGGATCTTTCAGTCTTTTTAATATATGCACTCATGGCTATAAACTTTCCTCTCAAGGACTGCCTTAGCTGTGTCCCATAGGTTCCGGTAGGTTGTGTTTTCATTTTCATTGACTTCCAGGAACTTTTAATTTCCTTTTTATTTCATCATGATCCATCTTCATTAAGTAATGAGTTATTTAGTTTCCAGCTGTTTGCATGTTTTTTGTCTTTACTTTTGTTGTTGAGTTCTACTTTTACTGCATTGTGGTCAGATAGTATGCACGGTATTATTTCTACTTTCTTATATTTGCTGAGGCTTGCTTTGCGCCCTAGGATATGATCTATTTTGGAGAAGGTTCCATGGGCTGCTGAGAAGAATGTATATTGTGTAGAGGTTGGATGAAATGTTCTGTAGACATCTAGGTCCATTTGATCTATTGCATATTTTAGATCTTGGATTTCTTTATTGAGTTTTTGTTTGGATGACCTATCTGTTGATGATAATGGAGTGTTAAAGTCTCCCACAACCACTGTGTTGGCCTTTATATATGCTTTTAGGTCTTTCAGGGTATGTTTGATGAAATTGGGTGCATTGACATTGGTACAGATTGATGATTATTATTTCCTTTTGGTCTATTTCCCCTTTTATTAGTATGGAATGTCCTTCTTTATCTCGTTTGATCAACGTAGGTTTGAAGTCTACTTTGTCAGAGATAAGTATTGCTACTCCTGCTTGTTTTCGGGGGCCATGGCTTGGTAAATCTTCTTCCAGCCTTTCATCCTAAGCATATGCTTATTTCTGTCGGT